GACTACTGTCAGACTTAGGAAGAGGGGTTGATGCTACCGGCCTATTGTACCTTCAGAAAATAGTTATAATAGTCTCTGCGAGAACTGCCATAAAGCCCCAGAGAGAGCTAGTTATTTAGATGCATGCAAGCTAGGAAAAACCATAGGAAAACGTGCACAAAGAGCATTTGGCACATAGATAAATGCTATCCAAAATCCAAACAGCTGTGTGGGCATATTAAAGCAAGAGTCAAGGATCTGGATGAGCACAGGATGGCACAAGGAACATGTCACATAGCTGGGCAGATCTCAAACCTGTTTCTTCCTGCTACCAAAAGTTTACTTGCAGTAAGGCTGCATAAGGAAAGAAATGCACTTAGAGATGGGAAACCACTAACCATGGACTTCCGTTTTCCAAAGAACATTAAAACTCGGTAGTTGCTCAGTCAAGTTGATACCAAGGTCAAGTTTCTTGAAGTTACACAAAACAGAAGCCATCAGCCTTCTATGCACTTTTACCCCACTGTGTAGGTCAATGACAGCATTTAAAAATAACCAAGGTGAAGATCTCCTTGTACCTTTTACACAAATAGCTATTTCAGGGAAAAAGCTTGTTGCTCAACCACAAGCAAGCACCACCCTCACCAGCAGCTCGGCAGTACGGTAAAGGTCTCCATGCAGACTATAGGGCTAGATAGGATTCATTCAAATGTGACATTTGGTGTAAGTTGCTACTTCAGTTCCTGACTAAGCATCAGCTCCACACCTGGGAGCGTGTCTGTGCCCTCCTGCTATCTGGAACATCGAGACCTGCACCTGACCTCAGATCTGCACCACAGAGCAAGGGTTAGGAGAAACTTGGAAAAAGCTGGCACTACCTGTGTTCTTCGGTAAAGCAAATTGCCTTTCAGCACACCAAATGAGCTTGGAAATAAAAGGCAAAACCACGTGTGCCCGTGCCTCAACGCACAGGCAGCCGACGCTCTCCTCTCCAGGCAGCACGAGCCCTGGATGTCAGCTGAACTGGAATTGCTGCCACTCTACAGGCCAAAAAAGCCTGCAAAGCAGACATCCTGCAGCTCCATCTCCTCCTGTTGAGCACCACGAGCACAAGATGCAAACGTGAATACAGACCGTGGATCCTATTTAAAGACTAATGACTACACCGCAGCTGACTAAAAGCAACAGATATTCCTCCACAACGATCACACAGAGCTTTACCCGTCAGCTTCTGAACTCCAGGTAGCAGTCACCTTACTTTCAGCTGCAGTGCTACATCCGTTTAACTGTACCCAGAAAGGCTGATTAGCTCACGAACGGAAACGAATAGCCCTATATTTGACCGAAATTGCTGAAGTATCCCGGAGAAGTGACGGAAGCGAAAAAAACAGAGCAGGAAATAGCGTGAAGGAAAAGCAAACGGACATAATCAATGTAACAGGTCTGTCGAGTCCCCCAGGACAGGAGGAATGTTACAGAGGCGGCCAGCGAGGAAAAGCAGCAGCTCCTCCAGCAGCAGCAGCCCCGGCGGGCACCGGCCAACCCCGGCGGCCGGGAGGGCGACCGAGCCTCGGCGGGGAAGGCAAGACCCTGCGCAGAGCGGGACGGCAACAGG